GGCCTTTCCCTCAATGGCTTATTACTGCTGCATAGTGGGCAATCGAATCTGACTCTTGCCGCCTCCCATGTAGGTCGAGATGTCCGAGGGCCGACCGCATTACACCTTCTACGATGGACCCCCATTCGCAACCGGCCTGCCTCACTACGGTCACTTGCTTGCTTCAACCATCAAGGATGTCATCCCTCGTTACTGGTCCATGAAAGGCTACCATGTTGAGCGACGATTTGGATGGGATACTCACGGTCTTCCCATTGAGCATGAGATTGACAAGAAGCTCGGGATTTCGGGAAAGGAGGCTGTCATGAAGATTGGAATCGCAAAGTATAACGAGGAATGCCGCGCTATTGTCATGCGCTATGCGTCTGAGTGGCGGACAACTATTGAGCGACTGGGACGTTGGATCGATTTTGACAATGATTACAAGGTGAGCATCATATGCTGCGCGGTGGCGTCATTTCTATTAGATGGGGTGGCTGACAATACTCTAGACCATGGACCCAAGATTCATGGAGTCTGAATGGTGGGCTTTCAAGCAGCTCTTCGAGAAGGATCAGGTCTACCAGGGTTACCGTGTTATGCCCTACTCAACTGCCTTGACAACGGCTCTGAGCAACTTCGAGGCCAACCAAAATTATCAGGACGTCAATGATCCTGCAGTTGTTGTTTCATTCCCGTTGGTTGACGACCCTGAAACTAGCCTCCTCGCGTGGACGACGACGCCATGGACCCTTCCTTCCCACCTCGGGCTGGCCGCACATCCCGACTTCGAATACGCCAAGGTGAAGGATGAAAAAACTGGAAAGGTGTACATCATTCTGGAAAAGCTCCTCAGCACTCTGTACAAGGATCCCAAGAAGGCCAAGTATACTATTGTTGGCAAGATTCTCGGCAAGGATATGCTTGGCTGGAAGTACCTCCCGCCGTTCGACTACTTCTACGAGGATTACAAGGATGTTGCATTCAAGGTTCTCAATGCTACCTATGTGACCGACGACAGCGGTACGGGAATTGTTCACCAGGCCCCTGCTTTCGGTGAAGATGATTACAGCGTTGCTGTTGAAGCTGGCATCGTTACCGAAAAGCGCCCTGCTCCCGACCCCCTGGATGATACGGGCCACTTCTTGTCGCGCGTTCGCGACTTTGAGGGAATGCATGTGAAGGAGGCCGACAAGCACATTATCAAGCACCTGAAGAATGCCGGACGACTGGCTGCCGAATCGCAACTCCGCCACTCATACCCCATGTGCCCCCGATCCGATACGCCGCTCATTTACAGGGCCCTTCCATCATGGTTCATTAGAGTGCCAGAGACCATCCCCGACATGTTGAAGAACATTGATGGTACGCACTGGGTCCCTTCTTTTGTGAAGGAACGTAGATTCGCAAATTGGATCGCTAATGCTCGTGACTGGAACGTTGGTCGAAACCGGTACTGGGGAACCCCGATTCCTCTGTGGGTCAGTGACGACATGGAAGAGCGTGTATGTATCGGCAGCATTCAGGAGCTCAAGGAGCTGAGCGGCTTCGAGGGCGAGATCAACGACCTCCACCGGGATAAGATCGATCACATCACCATCCCCAGCAAGCAGGGCAAGGGAGTCTTGAAACGTGTTGAGCAAGTGTTTGACTGCTGGTTTGAGTCAGGTAGCATGCCGTTTGCTAGTCAACACTATCCATTTGAGAATGTTGAGAAATTCGAGAAGAGTTTCCCAGGAGACTTCATCGCGGAGGGTCTTGACCAGACCAGAGGATGGTTTTATACTCTTGTGGTATTGGGAACCAAGCTGTTCGGCGTCTCCCCCTTCAAGAACTGTGTTGTGAACGGTATCGTTCTTGCCGAAGATGGAAAGAAGATGTCGAAGCGTCTCAAGAACTACCCCGACCCATCTATTGTCATGGACAAGTATGGATCTGATGCGTTGAGGCTCTACCTCATCAACTCACCCGTTGTCCGAGCCGAGCCACTTCGTTTCAAAGAGGCAGGCGTAAAGGAAGTGGTGCAGAAGGTTCTTCTGCCTCTGTGGAACTCATACAAATTTTTTGAGGCGTCAGTAGCCATGCTAAAGAAGATTGAGAACACCGATTACGTCTGGGATCCTTCAATGGAGTCTAGCAACAGCAATGTCATGGATCGTTGGATCTTGGCCAGCTGCCAAAGCTTGCTTGAATTTGTCAATGAAGAGATGAAGTGTAAGTTTGATATATTTCGTAAGGCAACTCTTTGGCTGACCTTTTAACGTTAGTCTATCGCCTATACACTGTTGTCCCGAGACTTCTCGAGCTCATTGACAACACGACAAACTGGTACATTCGCTTTAACCGCAAGCGACTTAAGGGTGAGAACGGCTTGGGGGATACCTTGCATGCATTGAATTCGCTATTCGAGGTTCTTTTCACGCTATGCCGTGGACTGGCACCATTCACTCCGTTCCTCGCAGATAACATTTACCAGAAGCTGCTTCCTCACATCCCCGAGAAGTTGCGTGGTGAGGACTTCAGGAGTGTCCATTTCTTGCCCTTCCCCGAAGTTCGCAGGGAACTATTCGACTCCGCTGTCGAGAGGAGAGTAGGAAGAATGCAGAAGGTCATTGAGCTTGCCCGAGTATCCCGAGAGCGACGCACCATCGGCCTCAAGCAGCCGCTGCAGACTCTCGTGGTCATTCACTCGGATCCTCAATATCTTGAGGATATTAAGTCTCTTGAGAACTATATTTCGGAGGAGTTGAATGTCCGTGACCTTGTATTGTCCTCTGATGAGGCTAAATATAATGTCATCTACAGCTGCACAGCCGACTGGCCAGTCCTGGGCAAGAAGCTCAAGAAGGACATGGCGCGAGTGAAGAAGGCACTCCCAGGAGTGACCAGCGACCAAGTTCAAGGCTATGTGAAAGACAAGTTTATCGAGGTCGATGGTATTCGGCTTGAGGAGGGCGACCTAGTTGTCCGCCGTGGAGTCAAGGAAGACGAATCCAGTAAGAACTTGGAGATCAACACCGATAGCCACGTTCTCACTATTCTGGACACCGAAATCCACCCTGAACTTGCCCTTGAAGGTCTCGGACGTGAGATTATCAACAGAGTGCAGAGACTTCGAAAGAAGGCAGGCTTGAATGCAACTGATGACATCAAGATGGAGTACCGTGTTCTCACCGATCCAGACAACGTCGGATTGGAGCAAGCATTTGAGACGCAGTCGCCTGCTTTTGAGAAGGCTCTGAGACGAACCCTCGAAAAGGCATCACCGGATGCTGCTGGTGAGAAGCTAATTGCTGAGGAGGATCAGGAAGTGCAACAGGCGACATTCTCGCTTAGACTACTCAAGCTCTAATGGGTGTATTGAGGACCAAAAAAATCTACCTGTAGGGAAAGAAATGTAGACAAGCTAGAAAATACAAACATTATGTAAAGACTAATTTCATAACCTGTTTTATTGGAGCCTGCAATTTATTTTTTGCTTACTCTGTAAAATAGACAGAAGGAATGTCAGTGTAAACATGTTGAGTTGAAGAGCATGGGTTTTGAACAGAATCGAAATAAGTTGCCTGGAATCAATGGACTGACCAAGTAGCAATCTTTTAGTTTGATGAACTCATTGACGCACTTGTCTTTGTGCACCGAGTTGTAGTCGGCTGCAATGCATTTTCCGTACGCAGCAGCCTGAAGACGATGAGTTTGACTTCTTCAAGAGAGGAGGGTAAGACGGCGCAAAGATACCTGTGCCGAGCATTTGGCAGTTGCCTCTGCAAATTTCTGAATCGGGCGTGTTTTTGCGGGGGTCATTTTGAAGATGAAATGTGGATTGGGTGTACTGGCTGTTGTTGTAGTTGATGGAGATGAATAAACCTAGGTATCTTAGCCGATGTGAGGTTGGGTTTCTATGATAGGCGGTCCGCCTCATTACATAAGTGACCCCCAAATCATACACCTACCTACCTGCCTACTGAGACCGTCGTCTCTGGTTTGTGCAAGATGCTAATCCGGTACCCTTCGATGCCTGTGTCTAGCACTGTTTGTGCCTCCATCTATCAACCAGAGATTGCCCCATTGATAAGAAGAGGTCTGGGAAGTGAGAAGTACTTCAGTTTCTTTTGAACCTGCCCTAAATCCCGTCTACGATCTCTAGTGACTATTGTCCCCTGTGGACAATAGGTACGGTTCCCCGCCCCAAGCAAGGTCATAATCACAGCATGCTGAGAGGTGTGCAAATGTCCAAATGGCCATTATTTGAGTCGAGGATGTCCACTCTACTGCCTATCGAAAGTCAACATCAATAAATAATAGGTAGGAAGCCAAAGAATATGCGATCCGGTTGAGATATGCGTTGCGTGGCATAGCAACGCGAGCCTCCAAGAGGGTACTTGCGGTCTTTGTAGTTGAAGGGTATTTTGACAGGTTGGCGCACTGGCCTGGGTACATGCGGATACTTCGCATCCTAGCTCCCGCGAGTCACTCTCTGGCAGGAGGTTGGCCCGGGCCATGGTGGGGCGCAGGGTGACGGTACTACAGGTCCGTCCAGTCGGTCGGTTGGCGGTTGCATGCACGTCGATGCGCGTGCTCGCGTTTGTCCACCAGTTTTCATTGTCCAATTGCTTCAATGCAAGCCTGGAAGATAAACAGCAGATTTTCTTCTAGACCCAGGACGCCCAATTCCGCCCAAATGTGCGCGCATGCCAATTCTACCAAGATCTCGCCTATCCGCACAACCGATTCTGGCGCTCGTTACAATTGTCTTGGTGTTGAGTAGTGGTTCTGCTTCGCGAGAGGAAGGGTTGGCGCATGCATGAAGCCGTCGCAACCCCAGCAGCCCGACGTCGCCTCTTGTTCTTGATTATGGATCAATAACAGACCTGGAAGTCTCGCCTCAAGTAAGCTTGGTTCATCTTGGAGCTTCGCGATCGCGATTTGGAGCACCCAGCTGACCCCTTGCTCGCTAATCACAGTGGCATATTCATATCCTCAACCTCGATCGCAGCACTCAGCCTCCCCCCAACCCGATGATGGCGGCTCTAGCGTCGCGAGCTGGGCTCGCTCCGTTCAGGAACCCTATTACTCTAATCACGGTATGCGTCCTGTCTTTTATGGGAGGGGTCCACGAACCTTGCTGATTTGTTTGTTTGGTTTAGACATAGCAATTCTACACGCTATTGTGTCCGCAGCCCAAGACGAGATTGATTCCGCGCCAGATCCCAAGCCATTACCAGCAGCAGCGCTATTCAAAGCCTACGATCGCGTTCTTCCCGAGAATGGCATCGATCCAGACGATGATCACCACCTGTCCGCCTTTGTCTTCCGGGTTGGAGGTGAGCGCGGCCAGGGTACGTTGCCGGATAAGCTTCATACTATTCTCGGTCGGATGGGTATCGAGCTTGAATTTGGGGAGGACAATGCTTTCTCAGTGAGATCCTCGCCTTCTCCTGCGCCTCCAGAATCGCCCCCGACTCGCCTCTCAACGTTTCCCCCACGGCCATATAGCAAGGAATTGCCAGTGATTGATAGCGATCCTCCAGATACGGCTTCATTCTCGCGCCCCCCTTCGCAGCGTGGAGTCGGAGAGTCAATCGCGGACGATGCCAGTGACTTTTCCCGGAGCGGGATTGAGGAGGCACTTGAGTCAGCAAGGCGTATGGCGTTGTCCTCAGCGCTGTACCGATGGCGACAAGCGGCATCTCAAAATCGCAGGGTCCAAGGCAGGCTTGCCTTGGCTGACAGTTTTAGAATGGCTGCCCCTCCGGCTCCTGCGACTTCCGCGACACCTTATCCGCGAGATGTGCCTGGTGAAACCGAGAAGCGCATTACTCACCCCGTTGCGAGCAGACCAGAACTCCAAGTCCAGACGGAGGAAGAAGAGGCAGAAGCACATGAAGTACCGAATGCAGTGGTCAAATCCAGTCGCACTGATCCACGCCCCGTCCGATCAACCTCACTTCTCGCCGTGATGAACCGTTGGAGTGCAATGGCAGCAAAAGCCCGAGACCTGCATCGACTACCAAATGCAGAGGGCAGGAGAACAGCCCCACTGGAACCTCTGCCTGCCAACTCAAGCAAAATCACAGAACTTGCTGAGCTGAGTACCGTCGTTGCAGCTGAGGCTGAACCTGAAATAAACGGACCTACAGGACTTGTGGAGGACAGTGATACAAGGAGAGAGAGCCTGAAGTCAAGTTCTATATCGGCACAAGCGAAGCCCAAAGTTGCTACACCACCAAAACAAATAACACGAGCTCGCGACGAATTACGGACACCGAATCCTGAGGCGGAGAAGGTAGCTTTGTTTGAGAGAGACCAGCGACTGCTTACCCGGGCTGGGCGTGCTCGAGAGATATACCTGGCAAGTAAGGTTTTCAACCATTGGGCTGATAAAACTGCCCGCCGACTGGAGCGGGAGGCAGTTGCCTGGCGGCACATGATTCGATTTCGGTACTTCAGGGGATGGTGCCAAGCCCCCAGCTCTAGGACGCCGGTTGTGGACCAAATGAGAGCCAGCACGGCTGTGCAGAAACTTAGGAGAGCTGTTGCAGAGCAACAGGCTCATTTCAAGTTGGCTGCCGACGCTGCTCTCCGCTCTCATCAGCAGCGCAAAGTGCACCGAGCTCTAGAGAAATGGTCATGCCTCGTGTCAGCTGGCAAAGCTCGCGATCGTGGTCAGGTACGGAAGAGAGGTGTCATGTTAACACGTTGGTCACAACGGGCCCGGTACAATGCTCAGCTTGGTCATGTAGCAACCGAACACATGGAGAAGGAAAACCATGCCGACATCTTATTCAAATGGTCAAGGAAGGCCAACGATGATTTAAGACGAAATTTCGTTGCAGAGCAAATCGGGTTGGGCTGGTCCTCATATCAATTTCTCCAAGAATGGTGGGATCAAGCGGAGGCTAGCCGAAGGGCCCAGGTGTATCGGCAAAATCTTCTGGTATCAAAAGTAGTTCGTGCTTTCGATCAGTGGAATTTGCAAGCAAGGGCCCAGGCTTTTGTTTGGAGAACGGAGTACCTCTCTGTGAGCAGAGTATTCGATCAATGGATGCGGCTCTGTCGCCAGGATGGCGAATTGAGAGACAAGGCCCAGACATTCCAGAAACAAGTAGCTGTGTCGAAGGTGATCCGATGCTGGAAGGTTGTTGACAGCTCTCGCTCAAACTTAGATCGTCTTGACAGGCGAGTGCAGCTTTATATTGGAAGCATGCGACTTCTGGATACCTTTACACAAACAGTAACGCGAAACCAGCTACGCGAGAAGGTGGCCCTGAAACGATACCTCCGTCAGAGATACCAACAAGTGTCATCCGCAAGAAAAAGAAGACATTTTTTCTCGGCATTGGATAAATGGCAATCATTAACGCTTTATAACAGGCGCCACGCAGCTTTAGCAAACGAAATGGTGGAGTCTCAGGAGCTCAATAGTGTTGTCAAGGCCGTGGATAGTTGGCATGAGCAAGCCATGGCTGATGAAGTTCAATCGATAGACGCGCACCTGCATTATATCCGAGCCTGGTGGAATGCGTGGAATGAGGCGTCGTGGAGTTACCGGCAAAGGGGATCCGATGCTTGGGATCTATGGGCCTCTGGAACACGTTATCAGTATCAAAAAGCCTGGTCTAATTCTTCGATTCAGCAGCGGGGACATGCACACACGGCCGCTGTGGTAGAAGAGAGGCACGATCGTGATAAACAGCGTCGGGCATTTAACTACTGGAGAGCACGAGTTGACCCGGGCAAGAGCGTCAGGTTTGACACCGTACCTCAATCTGCCCCTGAGCATCGACCGTCACACCCGTTTCGGATGAGTTGGAAGACTGCATCAGTACTAAGGTCACAACTGGGGAGAAGCCAGGGCATATCAAAATATCAACCTCTACAACTAGAAACTCCTACTCGGTGGACGGGGCAAATGGTGCCGATGAGCAATGTTCTGTCGGCACGGCCAATGCCATCTCTTCGTGAAGCGGAGGAAAGGTCGTCTGCTCCCTCGAGTCTCACTGAGGATGAACCCCCTGTATCGCCTTCCAGGCGGCAGGTTGAGCGAACTTATACCGCTAACTTGCCCACGACGACTCCTCGTGGTCCCGTTCCTACACACTTAGAACCACCTTTCCAGGCTCAAACTGGCCCTCCGTGGATCCGCAGTTCGCTCGGAGAGGCTTCGTTGGCCCCGGGGGAAAGTTCCAGATCCCATCATCGAGGGGTCAAAAGAAAGAGTCCTAGTGCTGTCCCAACCCAGACAGAGACGAACCCGATCCCATCAACCAAATACGCCGGCAACTATACCACCCCCATAAACTTCGGTGCTACGTCGACGGGAGCAGACATGAAACACATGCCAGCCACTATACGCTCCACCGTACCATATACACCCGCCCGCTCGACGATCAAGGGTAAATCAGTCCTATCAAGGCCATCTCGAACACAGACTACGGATTTTCGAAAGTCGGAATCGTCGATTCCCATACCATCTACTAGAGCCGGACCATATATCAAACGGTGATTAAGGCGATCCAGTCATGACAAAGAAATAATTTTGATGAAGAAAAGCGTGAATGAGGGCTGCATTTGATTTTTTTTTGGACATTGTTGATATCCTGCTTGAGGAGAGAAATCATGATCCGTTTTCTTGCTTATAAGTGGGATTCTCTGGGCGCCATAATTGGAAGAAAAGTCCCAGAGTTGATTGAATACTGGTGTGTATTGGAGAAGCATTGTGCTTTTGAAGGAGTTATGAAATGTTGCATTTTGGCGTTTGGCGTCATTGCTCCCCTTGGCTATTTCCCTTCCTTAGTATATTTACCACGTTGCATCGTATATACCTTACTGAATATCAACATCTTTACTCCCTCATATCTAATTTGGTCATCACCATGTCTATAATATGTGCGTTGTAAGCTGCTATGTAGTATCCCCGTGATAGCTCAGGTTTGATTCATAGCAAGCTACCACTCACCAACCTCCAGGACTTGAGATGGTGCACCATTCTACGTGCATGAACATTTCATCTGGAGAGCGTGAGAAGACGCTGTCAGGCGACTGACATAAAACATGGCACGCCCAGAACCTGCAACATAATATCAAAATAATCAACCCAGTAATAAACACAATATTGAGCTAAATACTACAGAAGAATATATAATTAGCTTATTACTATGATTAGTATTATTGATAAGAAAATGAGGTCCCTGACTTACATGAAAAGAGCTTTAGTATGCCATGTTTTATGTCAGTCGCTTGGCTGTATGCTTGCGCTTCAGATGGACAGTAAAATCGAGACCTATTTTTAGCTTATATCTATTAATTAGCAGTGGAGGCCGGCTGCACCCAGCAATCCGCAGACCTCAGACCTGTTTAGTACCTGTATCAGAATCCTGGCTGCCTGGAGACAGGACCCCTATTGAAGTACCGCCAAAGTATTCTTTGGGAGACGCGTACCGGGCTTAGCACGTACTGCTCCATCGCAATACCTAACAAGTACCTACACCTGCATCACGTCACGCGTTCCTGTTGCGCTGATCTGAGCAAGCCACGGCGCAGTACGAATGGCCGAGGCGGGACGTCATCCCGGCTGCTCTCCGTACACACACACAATCCAAGCTAAGCTGCTTGATCCATTGCCCTCGCGCCATCCCAGTGCTGGCACACGACACGAGCCCGAATATCCTCCCAAGCCGCAGAAGCTCCCGGCCGCTCAAGAAACCCCGATTTGAGAGATGCGCTCCTACTTTCAAGGCCGGTAGTATGAGCGCCGTCCTACCGGGCAAGCCACAGTCCAGACCTCAGGGTCTCGCTGTGGGCTATTGGGACAAGAGGCATCTGAACGTGAGCTGCAAATTGCCCCTCTCTGGCTGCTGTCGCCTTTCATCCGCCTAACACGTGCTCAATTCTTGCTTCTTAGGTATACGTAACCGGAAACGCCCTCACGATCCTCGATGACGTTGGCGCCATTGTCCAGACCATCTACGATGACGACGAGCAACCTCTCGAAGCTGTTGTATTTGACGAATTAACTGGCAAGATCGCCAGCTGCACATCCTCCGTCGTCCGAGTGTACAAACCCCTAGGGCTGCAGGATAATGCTCTCAAGGTTCGCATCTCTTGCCCTCTTGATTTGGGTTTACCCTGACCGTTGTCGCAGTGGGCTCTCGAGTCAACCTTCGATATTCCCAACCCTACCTCGGAAACACCATGTGCCCTATCTTGGGGAAGCTCAGAGGAGCTTCTCGTAGCGACCACTTCACTCTCCCTATTTACGACAAAGGGCTCTGCCGAGTGTATCTGGCAAAAACAGCTTCCGAACCCGGTCAAATCTGCCCTACTCTCTTACGACTCAGCCTTCATCGTGAGCATTGGCCATTATGATCGACTTCCCAAGGTCTGGCGCCGGTTGGCATATGGGAGAGACGAGGTGCGCTTCGATATGTCCTATCTCCGTCACCCCGGTATCGTCGCTACAATCAGGTGGCGTAAGCCGTTCCATGTGGAGCAGGCTGCTGAGAACGTCCTGTATACGTTTTCCACCGATTCAACGGTCCGCATTTGGACGCCCGCAGAAGCCTCCGAGGGGAAAAGCTGGCGCCTTTGGGGCCATGTTGACATTGGAGCATCTCTTCAGGATGGGCCGCCATTGGCGCATGACGTGCAGTTGGCATTCGTCATTGACGGTCGAGACTTCACAACTTCTGTCGAGCGCGTAGTCCAAGACCAAATGGCTGACGATGCCAGTACTGACGACGTGGCTCTGGATCATCTAGTCGCCATAGCACGGAGGAATCCCGAGATATGCGTTGCTGTGGATAGCTATGGATTGGTGTCAGCGTGGGCGTTCGAGAATGTGGGAAGCAGTAACAACGGCTCCCCAAGCATCTTCACGATTGCGAAAATCAAGTCTCGACAAGTGGATCTTCTTGGTGGCTTTCTCTCTCTGAAGGACCTGCCGCACGTGGAAGTTCAGACATATTGTGATAAACACACCGGGCGGCTGCACATCCTTTTACACTCGTTTGACGGCAGAATTGGTGTTCTAACCGCCAACGTCGCAGACTTGTTTGATCCTACGACCAATAACCATCGTCTTTCCTTGGATACCGTCTGGTCAGGGCATTCCAAATCCATCAAGAAAATGGTGCGTAATTTCAGTGGCCGTGCGGTCGTCTCGAGAACCGGAGGTGGGGAGAGCATTGTTTGGAAGCATCCCGTCTCCTCAAATCGGGCCTCGAAATCGAATCTCACTCGCCAATGCGTTGTTCCCAATAAAAGTCGGGTCCATCGCATCTGCGTCCTCCGCAAGGGCCGATTCGTGGTCTTCCTTTACGAGGACGAGAAGCGGGTTGTGCTTTGGGATTGCCGTTCGAGAACGGCGACTCTTCTTGGAAAATGCCAGTATGAGGTCGAGGGCAAACCCTTATGTCTAATCATTCTCCCTCGTCCACAAGTGAAGGATTACGCTACAGCTCATATTGCAACAGTGACTTCTCTAGGGAAAGGGATTGTGTGGGAGGTGAAACTACCTCCCTATTTCGAAGACCCTATGTCTGTACGTGGCACTGGCGTCCGTGAGTTCTGTCGGTTCGAACTGGAAGCCGATTCTCTGTCATACATGTTACCTGTTGATCCAGCAGGCTCGGCTCCGGTAGAACACGGTTTTCTCGATGTCTTCGCTCGAGATATCGCTATCTCCTACACACACGAAGGTCGTGTTGACTTCTGGACTGCCCGTGTCAACCTTGAAAAACGGAGTGTTGAATGGTTGTCAACCTGTTATACTGAGACTGGCTTATCTGAGCCAGCCCTGGTCAGCGGAAGTATGCTGAGGAAAGCCTCTGTAGTCGACTCGACACGGTCGCAAGTGACAATTTGGGATATCGGAGGCACCCGCCTTGAGTTTAGTGAAGACTATACAGCCCATGAGGTTGTGCAAGATCTCGACTGGACATCGACCCCTGATTCGCAGTCTATTTTAGCCGTGGGGTTCCAATACCGGGTTCTTCTACTTTCTCAAATGCGTTTTGATTATTTGAACAAGGGTCCTGCTTGGAGCGCCATTCGAGAGATCAGCATTCGTGAACTTACGCCTCATCCGATCGGAGACTCAACTTGGTTGGGTGATGGTCATCTTGTGATTGGGGCAGGGAATCAAATGTTTGTTTACGATCGGAATGTTGCTAGCTGTGACCAGCTTCTAAGTAGCATTCGTCTGCCTCAGAAGAAAGATGGTACCTGGGACCTCTTTGACGCCGTACAAAGATTCAACGGTCCGCTGCCCGTTTTTCACCCGCAGTTTCTTAGCCAGTGTATTTTGGCTGGCAAGAGTAACCTTGTTTGCCGGATTCTTGTGTCGTTGCACAAAACTTTGAAGTATTATATCCAAGGCGAGCCTCTGGATGACTATCTCGGGATTGACCTTGAGGAGTTTTTTATTCAATCCGTATGTTTTACCGGAAAGGAAAGTGAAGAGAGGCTAACATATTGCAGGAACAGCGAACTCGGACAAGCGAGAAAATCAACGGATCGTATCTTGACTCTGGTCTAGATGAAGACGAGGATGATGATACTTTTACTGAGCAAACTGCGGCGGCCATCAATGATAAATTGTTGAAGATCAGCATACCACAACTGTCCGGCCACGAGCAAATGCAGCTCGCGGATATCACCGAATGTTCAGCTACCGTCGAGCGACACAGGCGCTCTATGGATGAAAACGCTGCTCGCTTTATGCTCTTCGTTCGCCAGAATGCTCTACGCAAAGGACAAGCCAATGACTTGCACCTTTCTTGGAGGGAAGTGAATTGGGCATACCATTCTACGAGTCAGGATATCTTGGTAGACTTTGTGTCACGACAGAATCATGGCAACATGCTTTGGTCCAACGCTCGCGAGAATGGTCTCTTCATGTGGTTGACAGATATAAACACTGTGGTGAGTCTTGCAGATCGATATGCTCCCTCCTCCCAAACCATGTACTCACACTTGGCAGAGGGCTCAATTCGAGATGATTGCGAGGAATGAGTACACCAGGGATGAGGATAAAAACCCCGTGGGCTGCAGTCTCTACTACCTGGCACTTCGTAAAAAGACGGTGCTCCAAGGGTTATGGCGCATGGCTCTAGCGAACAAAGAACAGATTGCCACGCAGCGGTTACTGGCTAACAACTTTGCTGATCCGAAATGGAAGACGACAGCTTTAAAGAATGCATATGCATTGCTAAGTAAACGACGGTTCGGTAGGATTACGCACTCAAATCCAGATTGGCTATGCGTATTTGTGGACTTGCTAATCAAAACAACGTGTAGAGTATGCGGCCGCATTCTTTCTCCTTGCCGACAACCTCGAAAGTGCAGTTGATATCTGCCTACACCAAATGAAAGATATCCAGTTGGCCATCGCAATAGCACGTGTATATGGAGGGGATGAGAGCCCTGTGCTGCGCAAGATCCTACACGATGAAGTACTTCTGTTGGCGGCCCAGGAAGGCAACCGATGGTTGGCATCGTGGGCTTTCTGGATGCTGGGTCGAAAGGACATGGCCGTCCGAGCTCTTGTTGTAAGATTTACAGCCCATGACTTACACTACTTTTCTTCAACCCGTATTATCTCAAGAAAGAAGGACGCTAACCAAACTGCCCTCTCGCAGACGCCTGTGTACGACCTTGTAGAGACACCCTGTTCTCCAGATATCAAGTCCCGCCTATTTTTGACGGATGATCCGGCGCTCGTGGTTCTCTATTCACAGCTTCGACAACAAACTTTACAAACGCTCCGAGGAGCATCCAAGGTCACGCCCAAGGTGGAGTGGGGGTTTGTTCTGCATAGCGCAAAACTTTACGACCGTATGGGTTGTGATCTCCTTGGCCTAGATTTAGGTGAGCCACAACCAGCTTCTCTCCATGCTATCGATGCTTCAGACCCGGAATAAGCTAATGGTTTTCTCCTTCAGTCCGCAACTGGGAGTTCCAGCAGATGTCCACAATTACACAGATTGGTGGTAACGTCAATCCTCTCCAATTACTCCGAAGAAGGAGTTCACTCGTTGTCGATGATCGCCCTGCTTTAGGCATAGAGCGCAAGATTATGATCGAAGGGCCGAAGAAGCCCAAGGCAGCACCAACGACGTTCCAAGAACCTGACGCAGGATCTCTCCTGGATAGCTTTGGATTTTAGCGTGGAGGCAAGAAGTGTTTCTTCGGCGATTTCTCGTCGCCTTTGTTTGTAATATGTATAGTATGGGGTGGATTGAGCGGAAGAAATGTCTTGCAGCTCTGCTCTTGTACAAAAGTCAAGGGGGCAGCAGGATGGCTGTGTATAATAGATGGCAGTAGTACAATATCAGGGGCATGAACATAATACTACTAGAGTAGAGTGGTTGGTTTCTTCCGGAAAGGCACACAGAAAGAGAGGGCGAAACAAGTAGGAATGTGCGTTCAAGATTACTATGGCTTGGCATCAATACAAAAAGGGCGCTCTCCCTCCTTTCGTTCGGGTGTGACCTCTTGTATAGGGATCTTTCAAGTCATTTCTGGGTTCGCGACAACTAGATTGTCTTCCTTGTCTATAAGGGACCGCCTTAGAGCGCCTTGTGTGAGAATTCCCGAAGATCAGAGTCCATTAATTGAATCCATCGGCACATTGCTTATGCGACTGTGTGAATAATGTGCTGCTTAGTAAGGCCATTCATTGATTCGCCGATAACGGGATTACATCATCCTGCAAGGCTGCGGCTGCTACTAGCATCTCCGGGCGTTGAATCTCCCGTAGAACCACTCAAATCTGATTCCTCCCTCGAACATCATTAACCCCGGAATTGCCCGCTGTCCCAATCATCCTTCGAGGGTCTCGATTGAAGGGCAATGGCGCCTCCGGTCCCCCCTGGACAGAGCTTCACGGCCCGCGGGATCCTGGTGGGCCTTGCGGTAGGGACCGTCATCTGCGCCGCCAATGTTTACTTTGGACTGCAGACTGGCTGGGTTTCTATCATGTCGATGCCCGCCAGCCTGATGGGATTTGGAATCTTTAAACTTCTGTCTCGTCACCTGGCGTTCCCCTTCACCCCCGTTGAGAATGTACTCGTTCAGAGCGTAGCATGTGGGATGGCTATTATGCCTTTGGGCTGTGGCCTTGTTGGCGTGGTTAGTACTTACGCCAGACGGTCTTCGGTAATGTGAGAGAGTTGTTTGCTAACTGAAGCCATGGCAGATACCAGCCATGACGATGCTTCTGTTGCCCGAAGAGCAAGGCCCCTTGAAGTTGAGTACCTGGCAGCTGATCGTTTGGTCCCTCGGCCTGTGTTATTTTGGCGTTGTATTTGCCGTCCCACTGTAAGATATTCGTATTCATTGAGTAGAGTATATGAGCGCCTATGCTGACTATGGTGGAAGTCGTCGGCAAGTCATCATCCGGGAGCGGCTGCGATTCCCCAGTGGTTTTAGTACAGCCGTGCTCATCTCCTTCCTACATGGCCAGGGCCAGCAATCGCAGAAGGAGCTCGACGCCGCGGCTGAGGGCAACTTTGCCAGCCTGGTTCCTCGCGACGAACCTCTCTTGGCCGAACAGTCCTCGGCCGTCAGTGGTGATGTTGACAACGATGTACAGGAGGAAACTGGCGAAGCGAGCGACGATTGGGCATCCAAAATGCGCCTCCTTCTTGTCTGCTTCCTAATTTCTGGTATCTACACAGTTTGCACGTACTTCTTGCCCATTCTTCGAAATCTACCCGTCTTTGGGACTACTGCCGCCCAAGTGTGGCTGTGGACGTTGAATCCTAGTCTTGCCTATGTTGGTCAGGGGATCATCATGGGCGCCGAGACGACTCTGCACATGACTATTGGCGCAGTCGTTGGGTGGGCTATCCTCAGCCCATTAGCCAAGTCCAGGGGTTGGGCTCCAGGACCTGTCGATGATTGGGAGACGGGTAGTAAGGGCTGGATCGTTTGGATTTCGCTTGCCATCATGCTTGTTGACGCGGTTGTGAGCCTTTCATACATCGCGCTACGTCCCTTAATCGGCCATCGGGTCACAACCGTGTCCAGACTGTTGGTACAGAAAATCCAGGCCAGTGGTGCCGCAAAAATCTTCGGAGGGAACTCACATGCATACACTGCAATCCCGTCTCATGAGGAAAATGAAGAAACCTCTCGCCATTCCCAGGAGAGGGAAGGTAGCCTCCGTCTAGTCAATCCTTACAAAAAAGACGAAGAAGAGGATGCCCCGGCCCATCAACGTATCAGCGCCAAAGTCGTCACAATCGGACTCGTTGCGTCCATTGCACTGTGTATCCTAACCATACACATTGTTTTCGGGGACCTCATACCGCTTTATGCCACAATCATTGCAGTGTTCATGGCATTGGTTCTCAGTATCATGGGTGTCAGAGCTCTCGGGGAGACAGACTTGAATCCAGTATCGGGGATTAGCAAGCTTGCGCAGCTTTTCTTTGCACTCATCATCCCCCAGTCTCATAAGTCCAGCGTTTTAATCAATCTTATTGCGGGCGCGGTCTCTGAAGCCGGGGCATTGCAGGCTGGTGACCTGATGCAGGATTTAAAGACTGGCCATCTGCTTGGAGCAGCACCGAAGGCTCAATTCTGGGGCCAGACCATCGGTGCAACCGCCGGTGCCATCCTAGGAGCCCTTATCTACCAACTCTACACGACGTAAGTGAGCCCTACTGAACTCTACTCCTCGATAACTGGTCACTATCTTTGATCCTAAAACACACACAGGGTCTATGAAATTCCTGGCGACTTGTTTCAGGTTCCCACTGCATATGTATGGATTTTCACTGCCAGGCTTGTCACTGGTAAAGGTCTCCCGCATATGGTCAAGGAATGGGCTATTGGGGCCGGTATCTTGTTTGCGATTGCGACAGTTATCAGGACTGCCTCGGTCGGCAAAGCCTGGCGACCTCTGGTGCCGGGCGGGATTGCAGTAGCGGTCGGTGGGTGCTACCCCTGATTCCAGGTCATCTCTACTCAGGTTTTATTAATACTGACCGTCCTTAGGCATGTACAATGTCCCATCGTTTACATTAGCTCGGGCCATCGGTGGCATTGGTGGATGGTATTGGATTCACGTCATGAAACGGTCAAATACGCCTCTCATCATACTTGCATCTGTAAGTTCCCCTTTGGCACATTGAGCCAATAGCTACTAACAAGCATTCAGGGTTTTATCCTCGGGGAAGGGTTTTTAAGCATAGTTAATCTCATCCTTCAAGGTCTGAAGGTGCCACATCTTTAAAATAGAGAACATGTCATATATCATATAAATAGAGCACTTGCTTTTTTCTTCAGATGTCGATCCTACTCTAATCTAGACTTATTTCATCTTCCATGATTGCGTTCTTGGCTTCTCCCCGTTTAGATTCCATGTCGTACCAATAGAGAGCGCTCTTTTGTTCTCTTCGAGAACAGCGTATGTGACCTCGCCTGCGAGCTTGGTCTGCGCAGCGAGGTCCTTGTATGATCCATCGGGGTTGATGAGCAGAAGCCCCTGCTTCCAGTGCGTGGGCGTGTCAAACGGTCCGGTGCTGAACCCGACATTTCCAGGTTTCTGCTTGGCAAATGTATCTGGGAGAGTCTCAGCCTCGGGCACGGGCTCATCTGCCGAAGTTGCGAAGAAGTTATCGAACCAGATGGCAAAACCGTCCAATTCATCAATATCTTTGGTGAGGCTAGATTCCCACTTGGCCGTGAACGACAGGTCTTGCTTTGTCACGGTGCGCAAATCAAGGACTTTGAAGGGGTAGGGCTTGCCACAAATGGATTCCTTGGGCAATACTTCCACTCGAGCTTCGTCGTAAATTCCCTCTTGCATTGCCTTCATGTTGAACCCGTACACGTCCTTCCAATAGTTGATATGATCCGACACGAACTCGGGGTCGGCGACAGGTGCCATCCACATGGTCATGGAGCTTGGCGCGATGATGCCGCCACGTCGTAGATACTTGTCTCGGGCGTACAAAACGCTGGGGAGCATGGCCTCGTAGAGGAGGAAGTAGCCCATCCACTCGCTTACAATGATGTCGACTTGGTCAACGGGGAGGACGACCTCTTCCATGGCTCCTTTCACACAGGTGATGGTGTCAGACAGGCCATTGTTGAAGATGTTTTCTCTTGCCTTCAGGATGATGTCTGACTTGTCCACTGCAATGACCCGGCTGGCACCAGCTTTGGCGCAAAACATGCTCAGAATACCTGTATTTATTACATTAGACACGTCGGTGGCGGAGAAGTGAAGCGCATTGCATATTGGAGTATCATACCGGTGCCACAGCCAATGTCAAGAACGACCTTGTCTTTGAATATATCCTTGTTGTTGTACATGAAATCCCGGTATGCGTCTGTTCGAACAGCATCCTTGAGCATGGTTTCATGGATTTCTAACGAGAATCAGGAAACTGACTGTAACATGTCATGGGAGGGGGGGTATATACCGTGTGCAGCGTAGGATTCAAAATAATACTCGGAATTGTCCTTCTTTGGGGCTGCAGCGCCTGGCTTAGGTTCTTCGTCATCGCCCCATCTGCGATCAAGGGTCTGCTCTACTGCTAGGCGGTAGTTGGTGAACTGGTTGCGGATGGCCTCGAGCTCCTCTTCAAGCTCCTTGTTGCGAGTCAGCAACGCATTAGCTGAGGCTGCGCCCAGTGAGGAATTGTCCTCGCTCTGGTCGGCCTCGAGGACATCGTCCAAGGAGAACAAGAGTGCATCGTTTTCAAGGACCGGCTTCAGGTACCGCTCATGCTCGAGTTCGGCAAGAGTGATCTCTGCTGGGAGTGACTGGCCCTGCTGAACCTGGTAGCGAACATAGTTGACTAGCTTGATGGCGCCGTAAAAGTCCAGGTTCAGGCGTCGCTGAGTCGCCAGAAAGTCAAACCCGTGCTTTTCCTTGCTATGTGCCAGCATCTCCGTGGGCCTAGCGAAGGTCTGCTGGTCAAAAAAGGACACCACTGTAGATGTCTCCTCATCAGGCTCAACATCCTGCCACTCGCTGTCGCCGCCAGAGCTCTCGGTGTCACTCCTGTCGGACGCTTTGGGGGGGAAGTCGGACATGATGAAGGTTGCGGGGCGAAACCGTGAACTTTTTCTTTTTGCCTTTTTCGGGCCTCTTTTTGATCTTTTCTACCTGCAAATGTTGACAGTTTCTCTCTGGATGAACGCCACAGAAAGCGTGGAGGGATGGGCTAGGTGAAAAATAAATAAATAAAGGCCTTTCCAGCTGTCGGGTTTACAATGCGCAATGAAGTAAACAAACGGCCGAGTACAAACTTTCAATGCGGCCCCATACTATTGCTACGTTTTATCTTGGGTGCCCAAATAAAATAAATGTAGTACTAGGGCTGGATGGATGTTGGTTGGTGGAGATGCAATCGGGCGAGGTGTGATATCGCTGTACAGGGTAGCTAAGAGAGTAGCCCGAGAACAACCGCCAGGCATGGGAGAGCAATCCAATGTTTGTTTAGTCATTCATCTCGATCCTTGATCATAGGCTCGTCGGGGAGAAGGCGTTTGCCTCTATACACAACACAACATGTATCTTTATACTCTGGCAGATATTGTTCCACTCCGTGAAACTCATGACGACCCCAATCAAAACGCCAAACTAGGCCTTCTTGCTGTTGCTTTTGCTTGCATCATCGTCATCCTCATCTCCGCCGTCCTCCTCGTCCTCATCTTCATCGTCATCGTCATCAGCATCTGATACCGTCTCCCCTAGTTCTTGGAGCCGTGCCTAAGTATTCAGTCGTTAGAATGGTTGAAATCAACACAATTGTTGGTTTGGTTTGGTCTTTCCCCCATACCTTGTACTTGTTAACCTTATCTTCCAGGTCTCCGAAGACCATAAGTAAATCATCCAGCTCTGATTGCGTCGAGTCCTTTGCATTGTTTGCTTCAGTCGTCTGGGTTTTGGCCTGCACCACATGTTAGAAAGAGGTAACCGAAAAAAGTAAAAATGTTTACTAGACATACCTCTTTTAGCTGAGATTCGAGCTTCTCGACCATAGTTTGAGTTTTCTTGAGCTCTTGCTCTAGGCCCTGGTATTTCTTTTCAGCTTCCACCGAACGCGCTGTGTGCTCCTTTATCTTTGCCGCGCTTTCCTCACGGAGGGCTTGCATCTCATGTGTTTTGCTCTTGTTCGCCTGTATTCAAATGTTATCAGTGTTACTCGCAAATACAATCAGTTAACTACAGGGCATACCTTTAACAAATCTACCTCGAGCCGACTGATGGTTGCTTTCAGATCAGCAGACTCGGCTTCGCTTCGGCGATGGACACGCTCGACTTCTGTCTCTGCCACCTTCCGTGCTTGAGCGAGCTGCTTCTGGTGGTCGGATTCGATAGACTTCATCTGTTGTCTCAATTCTGCCGTTTGCTTTCCAGCTTCAGCCTCGGCTATCTCAGCGGCCTTGAGAGCTTGGCTGAGCTTGTGCTGGTAGTCCGATTCGACTGCACTCATCTGTTGCTTCCACCTTGCTGAAAGTTTCTCCGTCTCAGCTTCGGCGGCTTTGCGAGCCTGGCTAAGCTGTTTCTGTAAATCGGCTTCTTTGGCTGCAATCTGCTTTTTCCAGTTGGCGTTTAGCCTCTCGGCATCCCCCTCCTTGATCGCGAGCTGTTTCTTCCAGTTGACACTTTGCCTCTCATTTTCTGCCTCCTTTGCCGCAACCTGGCTCTGGAGCTTTCTGTTTCCCATGTTAGCTTGAAAGCCCGTCATGTTTTGATCGAAATGACAAACCGCAACTCTGCCTCGTGAACTCTTTGTTGAGTTTCAGATGCGTTCTTGGCCTTGTTAAACTCAGCGCCGGTATTGTCCTTGGTCCGGCGATGCTCAGATCTCTCTTGATTCAGTTTCTCTTCGAGAGAAGCCAGAGAGGCCTTCAAATCTTCCAAGGTACGGTCCTTTTCTTCAACTTGGTTTCTCAATGAATCAACTAATTCTCGGGAAATCCCTTTCTGAACCCCGTTGGAGACTACAGAAATCTCCATGCTAGGATCCCTGTCAAGAGCGCGGGCGATGCGGCTATAATTGTCCTTGAAGAAATCAATAAAAACGGCGTCGAAGAATACCTCAGGCAGCCCTGACGCTGTAGCATCAAGCTTTTGAGGCGTGACATCGAATTCTCGTATTATCGGATGGCTCCGGAGGTTCCCTAATCGATCCAAGTATCGATCTCTTTCCAACCTGGATAACAATATGGAATGCAGCGTTGCCCTCGGGATGGGGGAGTCTTTGGTTGAAAACTCGTAAGCGACACCAAGAAGCATAGCACATAAACCTTGCACCAGCTCACCACCAGGGGTGTTGGGCTGCAGAACGGCCTGGATCAGGCCCTGGACATTACTGCCCTCGGTTAAGAAGTCATTCACAGCGTCCATGTCTTCATAGAGCCAGCCCAGGAGGATCATCAAATATCCCACTAGAATTCTTGTGTCATCGTCCCGTCGGAGACCCGTTATGAGATGAGCGGCCATTGTTTGAATGCTTGTGACAACCTCTTCACCAGTAGAATGGTCGCCTTCGGTTAGCTCTAGGGCCTTCGCTTTTGTTGTTGGGTTATTGTATAAAAGGTGGAAAACGATTACAGCGGCAAACCATAGTCTATATGGATCGCTTGCATTCACTGCGGCAGTTGGGTTTAGTAGCATCGTCAGCACATTTGTGGTCTCATCCTGATCGGATTGGTAGCCCATCATGGCCCTTCCTAAGAAGTGCGCTTTGACCTCGGAATGATCTGAGAAATACGCCTTCAGGCACTCGCATGCAGAGAATCGAACATCGAATGCGCTCGGATCTTGCAAGCCAAGTGTAAGGTCAAGTAGGCCATCAATTACATAGACCTTCTCTGGTCCCTGAGAATCTTCAGCTGGCTTCGCATCTTTCAGTGGAGAGGGGACCATGAGAGACGCGAATGACTCTTGCAGTTCAGAATTTTTCTCAATCATGTTGCCGCTGGTCAAAAGTGCCTATGGGCTCGAGTTAATGAGACTGACAGTCACCTTTCGGGAGAGACACACTCACCTCGGCCTTGATCTGAGAGTGGACTTCTTGGCTGAATGCCAATTGGAGAACATTGAATCCAAGACCATGTTTCCAGAATGCCACTTGATTTTGAGGGGTAGCCGCAGATCCAGGGGTAATAAAAAGCCGGAGGACAGACAAGAATGCATACAGGATGCGATTTCTTTGGGCGAGAGCCCATTCGGCGATCTCCGTTTCCTGGCTCTGAAACTGAAGCAAGCTTCCCAGGAGCTCTGACAGACGTTTAATAAAACCAGATTCCCGGAATAAAGATTGGTTTGTTGGGTTACGTCGTAAAAGATTGGCCAGTAAGATTAAACAATCTTCTACAGCTCGACCGCCTTCAGAGAGAGAACCCTCAGCGTCGACAATCTTAAGAATTCTCTCGAAAGCATTCTCGAAAGCTACGAGCTTTTGGATATCCACAGACGTCAGGGTGAGGTAAGTTAATAGTGAAACAGCTTCGTTGCGAATAGCTTCTCTCTGATCATCCAAAATGGATACTAGCCGCGAGATACCGAGCGGGGCAGTAAAAATACACTCCTCTGTTCTCTCAGGCCGAGCAGACAAGATGGCAGAAAGCAATTGGAGAGAATACAAACGCCCGTAGAAGTCGCCGGAATCTAGGAAGTCAAGAAGCAATGTGATGTTCTCCAGTCGCTGCGTGAACTCATCAGCTAGCCAAAGTTCGATTTCATCTGACGCTTCAGGGCTGCCCTTGTTAGGACTGAATAGCATTAAGAGTGTCTCGAGGACAATTTTCACCGTATCGATGTCCTCGCCATCCTTGCTCAAGCTTCCAATGAGCCCTCTTAATGCTTCCGAGGCAACCGAAGCAGGATAGTCTTTAGCGAAACTCCTCAAGCCCAGAATAGATGCGCGACGGTGTTCGAGAAGCGTCGACGAGGCTAAGCGGCCGCTTAGAACAGATATGGTCTCGCTGACAGACTGTATCGCCGGTGTAGTTGATATCGAGAACATGGTGACAATTGGCTGGAGTGCCCTGCCATTGGGCAGCCGTCAATATCCACCTTAACCAGCCCAGGACACCTGTGTTTTCAAAACCGCGGCTTGTATGGAAGCAGTACGTTTGAAGGCGCACGGCGTCGGCTGTCGATGGTCGATGAGGCGAACTATTCGATAGCAAGTTCGTGGCTACTGTCTTGCTGTCACGTTTTCTCGACTGAACCGTGCGGATTAATATCAATGCGACTTTGGAGAATACTATGATAGTGAAAAACACCACTCACCGAAATCTCAACCGCTCATCATTGGAGTCTCGAGAATTCGACGGGAGCGCATGGCCTCAGCTACCCAGGCGAAGCGCAAGTTGAAACAGGTGGCCATGAAGCTGCCCACTTAACGGGTAGCGTAAGGGGATCATCCTACCAGTTCAGAACACGTCCCTTTAGCTACATGCTACTTCTTTAGTGCATGGGAAGCTTAGCTCGGGCAGAGATAAGATATGCATGTACAAGGTAGAGCGCGCGCCAATAGGACTGGCAGCAGGGCCTGAGTGCGGGGCGAGTGCCAGTAGTGGGTCTGCCATGCTTCGAGGAGAGGGTACTTTTGTTCTACCTAGAGCTCCAGACAAGCTGTGCTGTGTGTAAAGGTACACATAAGGTAGCTTACAGTTGGACTCTGCGCCAAGGACCCGCTAGGTACCTTAACTTTTCCAACCGACGCTTTCGCATCGCGGCCACTTCTTCCTCCTCTACCAAAGCGGCTGAACGTATTTTCTCTATATCATCAAGGGCATTACACTCCTCCGAGTCGGTCATTCTTTTCGCTCATATATCTTGTACCCCTGGGCACAATCTGGTAACGGATCCCCTTTCTCTTGATACCTATTCAATTTGGGGTTTCCTTGCATCGGCTTCTCGAACTTCAGACCCATGCTGTGACCGTCGCGATTGTCACCTGCCGTCATCTGGGTTTCGTTGTCTTGCGCCCTGTTGAGCTTTTCTATCCGCACCAAATCCCACCTTCATCATGGGTATTCCCGCCGCTTTCCGATGGCTTTCAAATCGATATCCCAAAATCATCTCCCCAGTGATAGAGGACCAGCCTATCACTATGGATGATGGAACAACGATTCCTGTCGATACGACGAAGCCCAACCCAAACGGCGAGGAGTTCGACAATCTCTATCTTGACATGAACGGCATCGTCCACCCTTGCTCCCACCCAGAAGATAGGCCTGCACCAAAAGATGAGGAGGAAATGATGCTTGAGGTCTTCAGATATACTGACCGCGTTGTGAACATGGTACGACCGCGAAAGATTTTGATGATTGCTGTTGGTATGTCTCTTTCTATATAAACCACTCCCCTCTTGCCAAATATCCGTCATCCCAGACCAGGCAGCGTTAAGGTCTAACATATCATTTCTAGATGGTGTTGCACCTCGAGCGAAGATGAACCAGCAACGATCCCGACGCTTCCGCGCAGCCCAAGAAGCCAAGGAGAAAGAAGCAGACAAACAAGAACTATTAAAGCTTTTGAAACAGCAGAATGGCGGCACTCTACCCCACGAAAACGCCGAGACAATCGCCAAGAAAGCATTCGACTCTAATTCAATCACCCCCGGAACGCCTTTCATGGACATCCTTGCCACTAGCTTGCGATACTGGTGTCAATATAAACTGAATACAGATCCTGGATGGGCGAAACTCAAGGTTTTGATATCTGATGCAACGGTTCCAGGAGAAGGCGAGCACAAAATCATGTCATTTGTTCGGTCGCAGAGGGCTTCCCCTGACCATGACCCGAACACACGCCACGTAATCTACGGTCTTGATGCAGATCTGATCATGTTAGGTCTCGCGACCCACGAGCCTCATTTCCGAGTTTTGCGCGAGGATGTTTTCTTCCAGCAAAGTAAAACAAGAACCTGCCAATTGTGCGGGCAGAAGGGCCACGAAGCCCGTAACTGCCGAGGCGAGGCCAAGGAGAAAGACGGCGAATTCGACGAGAAGGATAGCGTGGTTGAGTTGAAGCCCTTCATCTGGTTGCATGTGGCTGTTCTTCGCGAGTATCTCGCCATCGAGCTCTCTGTCCCGGGTCTTCCATTTCGATTTGATCTGGAGCGTGCTGTCGACGACTGGATTTTTATGTGCTGTTTCGTTGGAAACGACTTCTTGCCCCATCTTCCCGCGTTGGAGATTCGGGAAGATGGAATCGACACATTGACAGCGATTTGGAGAGATAATCTTCCTTCCATGGGTGGCTATGTGACCAAGGACGGCCATATAGACATGGACAGAGCGCAGTGCATTCTAGATGGCCTAGCAAGACAGGAGGATGCCATCTTCAAAAGGAGAAGGGAGCAAGAGCAACGCCGAGAAGCTAACGCAAAGCGGAGAAAATTACAAAACGAAGCGAATTCAGCAAGGAATGGAGGTCCTGGGGGTAAAATGAACCCAAAGAATCAAGACCATACTGCTCCACATCTCCTTCACCCCATCGGCTCGTTTCCGCAAAAGCCTCCTGGTGCACTCACTCATGATATGATAGTTAACAGAGCTACTGTCCAGGATGCCAATGCAGCCAACAAAAGCGCCGCGGATGTCCTTAAAAATCGACTGAAAGCGGAGAAGGCTCTCCCTCCCGCCGAGAAAGGAGTTGATACTCCTGAGAGCCCACCGTCGCTTGGCAAACGGAAAGCTGCCGAGTTTGAGGAGGATAACGGTAGTACCACGTCTGGGAACCAAACACCTGCCCCGGCAGCAGACGAGGGACCGACTGATACCGTTCGAATGTGGGAGGAAGGATACGCAGACCGATACTACGAGCAAAAATTCCACAAGGACCCTTCTGACATTGAATTCCGTCATCAGGTGGGTCGTGCATATGCTGAAGGGCTGGCATGGGTCCTGCTCTACTACTTCCAAGGATGCCCCTCTTGGGAGTGGTATTATCCTTATCATTACGCCCCGTTCGCAGCGGACTTCAAGGACCTTGGGAAGATGGACATTCGCTTCGAGAAGGGACGAATTTCTAGGCCGTTTGAGCAACTCATGAGTGTGCTTCCTGCCGCCTCCCGCCACGCCATTCCCGAAGTCTTCCACCCGCTTATGCTGGAGCCCGATAGCGAGATCATTGATTTTTATCCCGAAGATTTTGTAGTTGACCTTAACGGGAAGAAAATGGCATGGCAAGGTGTGGCCCTGCTGCCATTCATTGACATGTCAAGACTACTTGGAGCTGTTCAAAAGAAGTATCCGCTACTCAGTGCTGATGATACAAGGCGCAACGACATCGGCACAGACAACCTACTGTTTTCGGACAGCCACGAGGGCATTTACGACGAGGTGTTGACTAATTTTTACTCCAAGAAGCAAGGGGCACCGCAGTTTACGCTGAACTCCAAAACCAGCGGGGGCCTTACTGGCAAAGTCATCAAACAAGATGACTATGTGCCCCATGGGATGCTACAATATCCTTTGGATCGAAAGGCCCTTCCGGATCTTGACTATGATCGTTCTATAAGGTAAGCTTCCATTAAAAACCCGTCTTGTCCTAATTCTTACCGCTAACTCTGACCTCCCTTTCAAGTGTCATTTTTGAGATGCCAGTCACCACACATACGCACAAATCTATGCTCCTGCGTGGAGTCAAGTTGCCAACGGCCCAATTGACTCGAAGCGATATCGAAGTCATGAAGGGCAAAGCTAGAAGAGGTGGCAGAAGTTACGGGGGCGCTCCCCTGGGCCGACACGACCAAGGTGGTCGAAGAGAGCCGATCCACTACGGATCAGAATCACGGTACAACAATGGACCACGCGGAGGACACCGGGGCGGTGGGCGAGGCGGATACCATGGTGGCCGTGGCTCCTACTCGCAATACGATGCTCCGGGTCGATCCTATCCATCTCATCCTCCAGCATGGCAACCACCACCACCTGGGGCACCAGGGTTCGGCATGGGAGTTCCTCCCCCCCCTCCCGGAGTGCACTTCCAGAATGGCCATCGCCAGAACCATGGGCACTCTGGATCATATTCAGGACATCGAGGGTCCAATGATCGTCGTGACTATCCACCACAGCATTGGCAGAACGGGCAAAACCGAGACTGGCGTGGCCAGCGGTAAGATGGAACATCTAGCTGTAGAGCCATGTTCCTGCTGGGACACCAATTTAGTCGCTCCTTATCAGGTACCTGCAGCAAGTACCTTCGTGAACCCCTTTTTTGTTTTCCCCTCTTCATTTCTGTTGATGTCATTGTTGTGGTGCTATATCGAGCTGTGATAAGGTCCTATCGTCGATAAGGTGGGAAAAAAGGGTTTTTGAAATTAGAAAATAATAAGATTCGATTGGCAATCCTATGCTTCACAAGTTACCCTTGCCCATGCCCAGGATGAAAAGGGGACACGTTGTCTTTACACGTTGGGCGTAAATTATGCCGCAGATAGTTGATTATACCTAAGTAGGTAGGTAAGTACGGTATATTCAGTACAAAATCGAATCCGTCGAGATGTCCAGCAGAGCACTGGGGAGCTCAATTTATTTACCGACTCGTAGATTTATCCTTGCATGCATGCCTTAGGTGTGGGTAGCGCCAGTGGTGTCAGTGGTGTGCTGAAGTACCCGCAATTGGGCCTCTGACACGCGGGGTCTCGTCTTGGCTCGTCTAGGTTGGGGCTTCTTCACATTCATGCGCCCATTAATCGCTTTTTGTTCGTCTCGACTCTGACTTGGGGCAGAATCACTGGTGCAGGGTTTGGAAACAGACAGCCTGTCACGAATTGCATCAACCGCACGGCTCTCGTACCGTTCCACTGCTCGCCTACCCCAGACTCCGACTACCACCATCCCAACTTTGAGTGCTAGGCAAGCTCCGTACATAGTCTATCAGCCATTAGCGCCTTCGCATTCCGCGCAGCTGGTCACCTAGTTGAAGAGCTCTCGAAACCGACTGGTAGTTATTCGACGCAAGGGCTGGGCCTCACCCCTTTCACCTAGCTGAGGTAGCTTGTGGGATCTGGACCTGGAGTCTCAGCAGCCGATCATACTGTGTCTACCTTCAATGCTTCAGCAATGGATGCCGATGCGAGCCTTGTCGGCTCCCTCGTCGACAGGCTGGCGACCAAGGTGAACACCAAAACCCCCTTGATCTCTAGTATTCCATTCCCTCGGTAGCTTACACTCTACTTGTAGTTACCTCATCGCACGGGAACTACTACTCAAGCCTTTCCTGACGACGGCATTCTCCCAATAACCCGAGCTACCCTCATTGAGTTGAGCAAGACCACGATTGAAACCGTTCTCGATCACCTCCTAGGCCTTCTTGAAACCCTCGCGCGCCCGTACGAAGCCGTATCCAAACATCCAGACCACGTACTGCTCTCCGAGCTCTATATCTTGGCTCTCGCTGCCGATTGCTGTTCGGCAAAGTGGGGTTCCATTCGTCGCAGACACAGGGGCAAAGTCAAGCACTCGAGCGAAGAGGGCACTGGGGGAGGCTTGGATAATGACTATGACGACGATGACGATGACGACGACGACGACGAGACTGATGAACAAGAAGACGCAGCGAGCTCAGGCGTGGGAATTGCGTACAATGGGGCATCAAGCCGTATACCTCTCCCGCTCCCAGCTGCTCTAGTCAACCGCATATTGGACGCTCTCAAGGTTCTACTTGAACCCTTTCCCGAGGAGTACATTTTGACTCCCCTGACCCTAGTTGGCCTGCACCACAGACGAAAAACTGCCGTCTCCCAACTGAGAAACTCGGACACAGTTACAAATGTCCTCAGCGCTCACCAGGCTGACTTGAATTCAAACATCCAAGTTTTGGTAGAGTATGTTACTGCTTCTAGCTGGCAGTCCGCTTTCGACTACTTCCGAAATGCCATCTATAGTATTAGGTCTACCATCGTCAGTGGCGGACCTGATATCCCGAAGCCCTCCTTGGATGCAGAACGAGATGCTTTGGTAGTGGTTCGTCTTCTATCCTTCTCTTGGGTCGACAGCACAAGATTACGACTCTTGCTGCAAGAAATTTGTTCCAATTTTTTACACTTCCGAAAGCCATTCCAAAATACGGCCTGCATTGTGGTTCCTTTACTTATCACTAAATGGATCGACCGCTTTCCACATCAGATGGTACATCTTCATCTGCAACGAAAGAGGTTGGATGGCTCTGCAGATACATTGTTCGATATGGCCCAGAGAGTCTCCGACAACGCCAAGCGTAGAGCAGTAACATGGCCTCTCCAGTGTAGTCTTCTGTTTCTGCTTCCGGATGTTTTTGACATCGCCAGCAATCTGAAGGAAGTCAAAAGCGGTGGCGTTGTCAAGAAAGTGACATTCCTAGAGGGCCTGAAGAAGTCTCTCAAGAATGGGCATGAGATTGCTGCCCACTGCCTGGTTTCGATCCTTCGCGTAGCTCGTCACTTTGATGCTGAGAGTGACTCTGCTCTGGTGAGCTACGCAATGGATGTTCAAGATGAAGTGCGCGAGGCAGTCTTCCGCAACAACAGTTCTTCTATATCCCCCTCCATGGGGGAGGTGTCTGAGAATGGGTTGTCCGATCAAGACACTATCACTGTCGCTTTTGTGAGCTTGGCACACTTGAACCTTGGAGGATCATTGGGCAGTCTTGTTGAAACCTGCATTTCTCCATCTGCTCCAAGCAACTTCAAGATCGCCGCTGTTCAGAGTTGCCATTATTTCGCACAACAACCACAGGGGTATCAGTACCAGGAGCTGTTCGGGCTAGTTGTCCCGTTCATGAAGTCACAACTAGAGGTAGGCCTTCCCCGTCGTCGTCTGACGACTCAGCAGCTAACTATTTTGCACAGGCCGATAGCATGCAAGCATTGACCCTCAACCCATCTTCTGACTCTAGCAGCGCGGATATGATTTGCAGCATCTTGGAGTTTCTCAATGCATCACCTGACTACCTATTGAACGATCTGACAAACTCGGGCAGTCATACCGGTTTCTTCAAACCATTCTTGCTTTGTGTGCTGTCTCCTAATGCTTCTGTGCGACATCTTGCTATGACTGTCGCCGACAGCCTCTTCAACAAGAATCAAGAACCCTTTAGATCATACTACAAGGAACACAAACTAGACTCCAACGAGCTTTGCAAGGATATATGGAGCCGAAGGTAGACAAGAAAGCCTGCCTTCCACGGTTGCCAAACTTATTTACACAGACTAACAACGACACTAGTTCTAAGGTACTCCTCAACTTGTGTGAACGCCTTGGTTCGCAAACCAACGAGTCCGATCTGGCTACACTTCACGGCTGTTTGAGCGCTCGCCTTCTTTTGCTAAGAAACCTTCCGGTACGTGACTGTGACTCTCTGATGCGCCGAGGCTTCTGAAACTTATCACATAGCCCAGGATCTGTCTGACGTTCCCAACAACATATCAGAGGTAGTTTCGGCCTCTTCAAGGCTCGAAACAACTTTACTCGTGTCGCTTTGCTCTTCCAATTCCGAGACTTGTCAACAAGTGGCTTCCTGCATAGGCACATTCCTAGAGGAGTGTTCTATCGTCGATAAGCAGGTAGAGTCTGCCAAGGCATCTGCGTCGCTCCTTCGCAATGGCGACATCTTTAGAGAGATCGCCTCCCCTGATTTCAGGTTTACGGGTCTCGTGGCTTTCCAGAAGCGTATCCGTGGCTTATTACGGCGGATACAGTTTCCCACAACGGGGATTATCAATGCGTGGGAGACTGCCTTTGACAGGTGGATTCATCTGGCCAAGGAGGTATCCACTACTGCTTTTGATGCAGTTGATGACCAGGCCTGGAATGACTGGCGCAACTATTCCGGGTTTCTGGCCTCTCTAGGTGGGATCTGCATTGCAGACCAGGCCATGATTCAAGAAGAACCGGCCCTTGGCGGCTTGAGGTGGATCGATCGGCTTTCTTCAGAAAGCTACGAGGAAACCTTTCTGACACGATACCTACGATTGAGCATCCAGCTCCTCGCGTGCTCCAATGTCAGGGTTCGTGAAGCAATGCGGGAGGTCTTGTCAACCGAGGTATCGCCGGCACTCTATCAGTCATTGTTTAGAGCGCTGGAGTCGGAGCTTGAGGTTCTGTTCACTGGGGCTCTTGCCGCGGCCGATAAGGGTCAGGACAGTGAAATCATTTTCGCCGAACAGAGCGCCTCACTTCTCCGGGCTCTGGTGGAGAGACTTGAGAGCCCTTCCGAACTTGGTGCCGCGTCGTCGATACATCTTGGCAGCCTGACACTCAACTTCGCAAAGTTCCTAGATGGTGTTTCCGATACACCAGATACGCTCCGGGTGAAAATTCGAGTGTGCCATCTATGTGAGGCTGTCACAAAGAGAAAAGAACATTTGATTATCCGAGACGATGTGCGCATCAGAAATCAGCTCCTAGAATATCTCTTCGGCTGGATAGCTCGTCCGCGATCTCCATATATGGAACAGAGTTTCAGCAATGCTCGCCCGGATGATGTGTCCCGTCTCCAGAGGGATCTTGATCGGGCCTGTCTGAAATCATTGGCTGACCTCACCTACCGGTTACCTCTCCAGGCTTCGGATAATCAGACGGATGCTGGAATGAGTGAGATGAAGTCTCGCATGTTCCATACTTACTTTAACCAATTCCTATCGCTCTTGAATCATGATTCCGCCGAAGCGAATCGAGCAGAGATGTCTGCACTTGGTCGAGAGGAAGGTATTCCCAGTTCCGACCTAGCAATCTCGATTCTTTCAAATTTGCTTAGTGCGAATATTGATGTTGGTTTGAAGCACTCTCTTAGTATCGGCTATCACGGGAAGCTTGAAATCCGAACAGCCTTTGTGCGCGTCCTTTACAATATTCTCGTTCAAGGAACTGAGTTCAATAACTTGACTGATTCCGCTGTAAGCGAGAAATATGAAGAGCTTCTGGAGGTCAGTACAGCCCGAACATTGCCTAATTTCATGAGCATATCCTGATGTTTGATATTTAGTTATTGACAAAAGATTTGTCTCTTGCCATGGCAATGAGTTCTATCTGCCCCAGTAATGAGGTGGATGAGCTCGCAGTATGCCTATTGACCATTTTCGAGCAGAGGGGGCTTACCTTCGAGCTCTTTGATGCGCTGATCAAGTTGGAAGTTGAA